CACACAAGAGTTGTCTCTATGTATGTGCTCATGCACCTGCAGATGTGTGTGTGTGTGTAGGCTAAAGGTCATTCTGGAGTCTCATTTATTAGGGGCTGTGCACATTGGTTTTTTTGAGACAGGATCTCTCGCTGAGACCTGGAGCTCAATGATTCAGGCTCAGCTGGCTGGCCTGTGAGCCCCAGGAACCTCCTGGTTCTCTCTCTCCCCAAAGCTGGAATTACACCAGCACACAGCACCATGGCTGCCTTTCTAGATGGCTGGGAGAGCTGGAACTCAGGCCCTTCCTCAGAAGGGCTTTACCGAGCTATCTCTTCAGCCTCCAGTGTCTTTTCCAGATTTCTTTCACTTAGCATAATGTTCTCCAGCCTCATCCACACTGTAGCATAGACCAGATCATTCTTCCTTTTTTTTTTTTTTGGTTTTTCGAGACAGGGTTTCCCTGTGTAGCTTTGCGCCTTTCCTGGAACTCACTTGGTAGCCCAGGCTGGCCTCGAACTCACAGAGATCCGCCTGGCTCTGCCTCCCGAGTGCTGGGTTTAAAGGCGTGCGCCACCACCGCCCGGCCATTCTTCCTTTTTAAGACTGAGTAATATTCTTGATTTAACTTTTTAACACAACCACAACGTCTTCTAAGCTAAAATAATTTACTTATATTGTTTGGTCTCTCTTCCTACAGCTTTTATGAAGTGCACCCCCACCCTCATTTTCTCCTTTCTTTAAAAAGTTAAAAAATTATCTTCTCAAAAATTTTCTCCAAACTTCAGAATACAATGACTACTACAGTAATAAATTGTAATTCCATTTTCCTAGGAGTTCTTAAACTTTTTGATTTTGGGGCCTAAACGTTGAGACACCCAAATGTCTCCATGGGTTACATCTCCCAATATTTAATATGTAAAAACCCAATAGTACAAAAGAAAAAAAAAACCTAAGCCATTTACCCACCCTCTGTCAGTAACAATACACTGATTACACGTCAACCTAACATCTCTATTAGCAGCAGGGTCGTGAGATGGCACAGAGGGCAAAGGCCCTTGCTGTTGAGTCTGACAAGTCAAGTTTGGTCCACAGGACCCACGTGGTAGAAGGAGTGAACTGACTGCCACAGATTTTCCTGACCTCCACTCACATGCTCTGGCACATTTGTGCTCCCGGATACACACGTGCATGTGCATGTGGTGGTATTGTGTTCCCCAAAATATTGTGTATCCTAATAAATTTATCTGGGGTCAGAGAACAGACAGCCACTAGATACAGAGGCTAGAAAATGGTGGCACTCATGCCTTTAATCCTAGCATTCCAGAGACAGAAATCCCTCTGGATCTCTGTGAGTTCAAGGCCGCATTGGAAACAGCCAGGCATGGTGACTCACGCCTTTAATCCCAGAAAGCAGCCTTTAATCCCAGGGAGTGGTGGAAGAAAGCAGAAAGATTTATAAGGCGTGAGGACCAGAAACTAGAAGCATTTTGCCTGGTTAAGCATTTTGGCTGGTTAAGCATTCAGGCTTTCGAGTACAGTTCAGCTGAGAGCCATTGGGATGAGGACACAGAAGCTTCCAGTCTGAGGAAACAAGATCAGCTGAGAAGTTGGCCAGGTGAGGTTAGCTGTGGCTTGTTCTGTCTGATCTTCCAGTATTCAACCCAATACCTGGCTCAGGTTTGATTTTATTAATAAGAACTTTTAAGATTCATGCTACATGTGCATACATACTAAATACGTAAATAGAATTTAATTCCTTTTTAATAAAAAATGTGTGTGGACGAGCTGAACAGCTTTGTCCATTTTTAAAAGCCTAGCTTAGCAGAAGACAGCTGGTTTCTTTTTGCTGCTTCTGCACTGTGTACTGTCATTGTTGAAGAACCCCTCAAAGACTCCACTGATTCTATGCAGCAGAGAATGCAAAAAGCAAGTCAAGGTTACTTTTATTAGTTACAATACCTTTGTCCTCAGAGCTCTCTAAAATCATTGGCCTCCTTAAAGAAAATCAGTTCTCAGTGTTAGATTTATCATAGTGATAGGGCCTCTCTGCTGCCGTCAGCTTTTCTCAAATGTTTGATGTGTTTGGTATCAACAATGCCAACCTGCCCGTAAAGATGAGATCAGACTGTATGTAGTGCCAGGCAGGGCATGCTGCAGGCTGATCACCTCAGCACAGGCCTCCTCTCTCACTATTGGGGTCTGTAAAGCATTTTCCCTTAATCCCCTCCATAATATCCACATAGGTACCTTAGTAAGAACACTATAACCAGTTTCTTCATTTATCAGTGCTCCCTTACTCTCACTTTTTCCTCTTACATTTTTCTTCTCAAAAGTGGAGATAAAATTTAAGACTGTAAATTTCTAAAATGTCTTTACTTTGCCCTTTCAGAGTCCTTCGAAAGTGATCCAATTTTATATACACGAAGTATGAAATGTATCTTTAATCCATTCAACTCCTTAAATGCTTACCAAACATACCAGACTCATGATAGAACCTTGTATCAAAATGTGTTTACTGCTCCATTTTCTAAGTCCCTCAATGCCTAGTCAAGGATTTCTAGTTCAAGGTTAAATATCTAATTCCAGTTGGTCTTTGGACATTGTGGGGAATGGGAATTCCCCAAGTTAACCTCCTCATAGAGCTAAGAGGCTGAAATTGTACTAATCTTTCAAGGTCTGTTAAAATTATGTTTCTAGTACCAGGCTGCATAGATATATCTATTAGTTCTCAGTGACCATTGATATATCTCTTAGTTCTTCATCTAGACTGGACTCTAGCAATTTCTATCAACTACCACATCCTGTAGTTACTGTTTAGTTCAATAACACCAAAGCCTAAAGCTTTGTGTTTCAATTCCCAGAATCTGATCTACTTCACTAAGTGCCCAATTCAATACTGTTTCACCATTCCACTGACTATATTGGGATATTTGCTCTTCTACCCTTCTATTAATTTTTATCTATATTTAATAAGCAACAATTTTTCAAAGCACTATTTTACACTGTTTGCTACATGGGCATTCCTTACTATTTGAAAATTTTCCTGTGGTAACAATTTGTGAAATTTTTTTACTCGAAACTCACTTCAGGAATTAAGTTTTTCTCTTGAACTCCTATACTTAAGCTAGTGAAAATGTTTACATTGGGAGGACACAGTGTGCTGTTTGCTGACAGGACCATGTTCTACTAGAAGGTTTTTAAACATGTTATGCATTAGCACGATCCTCTTCCTTACATTAAGTAGATTTACCGTCCAACAGTGAAGGAAGGCTGTCCAGCAATTAGACGAGCCGAGGCAGTCTAGAAACGCCCATCTGGCAGAACATGAAAGTGATGACATTATAGGATGATGCAGAAAGGCACAAATGGGGATCAACCGCATCATGACCAAGGCTTAGGCACATGGGGGAAAACACAGAAAAGTTGTGAGGAGCTGAAAAGCTTCATGTTGTAAACTGAGCATGAATAATAATTTTGGAAAATTAAAGATGTATCTTATGCAATCAACTAACAGTTTGAAATGTTTTACTATGAAGACTTCCCTGGGGGACTATTATTCATAGAGTCCAACAGTAGATATGCTAATTAGCAACATGTCCCCTCTGTTCCTTTGCCTTGGTTACAAGCACTAGGTGGTTATGGTGATGCACAACTTTAACTCCAGTCCTCAGAATGCAGAAGTAGGAGGAGCATAAAGGTTCAAGGGCAGCCTGGGCTATGCAGATCCTGTCTCAACAACCAAAGGCCAGAGGAGTTACTGCAAGTTTCTTACAGCAAGGCTTGCCACTGTACAGCGAATAAATGGAAAAATTTCCATGGTATTTTAACTGTAACTGAGGAAAGTGATCAGGAATTGGGGGGTGGTAATCACTGTTCTGACTTAAAAACTATATATATATATACACTATATATATACACACACACACACATATATATGTTCTTAGCATCTAGCTAAGTTTTAGAAACAGTTTAGATGGTAACAAGGATGTCTGTATCTGTTTTTTGAGGCTTATTTTTATATGTGTGAGTGTTTGCCGGAAATGTATGTACATGTATGCATGTGCAGTGTCCACCAAGGCCAGAAGGTGTTGGATCTCCTAGAACTGTAGCTACAGATGGTTATGAACATGTGTGTGTTGCGAACTAAACCCAGGTCCTCTGGCAGGAGCAGCAAATGCTCTTATCACCGAGCCAGCCCTGCAGCTCTTGTTTATTATTGTATGTGTTGTCACACACATCCTAGTATGCATGAAGGAAATGGTGTGTTCATAGGAACCATGATCCTTTGGCAAGCAGAACTGAAATAGGCACTGGGCAGGGCAGGGTTAAATGGTTAGCTGTCTGGGTTCTACTTTTACCACAGCAGAATATGTATTTGAATGGGATTCCAGGGTGATCTATATGCACCCTAAAGTTCGAGGAACTGCATCGAACAAACCTAACTGCCCAATTGGCACCTATTTCTACCTTCCTCCACAACAGACCTTGGGCCTTCCACCTCCCACTCCTAACTCCAGCCGGAGTCTCATTTGCTTCAGCTGTCTCTCCCGGGCCAATGACTAGTTCAGGAATGAAGAGTGCAACTAAGTCAACTTGCGGAAATAAACTAAGTGTAGGTTATCTGGAGACATTTCTTACAAAGGTTCTTGTCCTTCAAGAGCTAGGGGAAGTGTTTCTCTGGACAGTCATGTCTGAAGGTGAACGGTGAAGACCACTGCAGATCCTTACTGTAGCTCAAGAAAGAAGACAGAACTGCCTCAGAAAAGAGGTAGGCATTTAGAGTTTGAGAGGAATTGAAAACTAGTTTGAAAGTTCTAGTCCTAACTGATTATCTTTTCAATGATCTGACAATTCAAATGATATTCAAATATTTTATGGAATAATAGAATATATCTGGCAAGTTATTAAAATGTCAATCATCTCAAAGATATGGACCAGAAAATCCATGCATATTTATAACACATATATGTTTAGTTATTAATATTCAAATTTAAAATATACAGAATTTAAAAAATTACCTTTCAATAGATGGTTAAGGTCCATGGTGTCATTTAAGACTTTTTGTTTGGATCTATGGTCTAGATTTGCATCTAACACTGATGATTTTGGAGCAAAATTCTGCCCATGCTTTTCTTTTCTTTTGGCTGATTTCAGAGATCTTAAATCATTTTTTAAAGCCTCCACATCCTCATACACATCCCGGCTCACATTTTCTTGCCTTTTAACTTTTACTTTCTGATTGTGTGATGGGCCCAATTCAAAGGACTGAACAGGGCTGATGTCTGGAGTTGACAAAGGAGTTACATCTGTTACAGTTTCTTCTGATTCCACATTACAGTTACCAGTTTTTTGTTTAGCACTGGAAGACTGTGTACCTGCCAATTTTCTTCCTGATTTACATCTCTGTTTCGGTGATGAGAGGGTTACGCCAGAAACATGTTTCCTTGACGATGAGCGTGAATCACATTTATGGGTATCAGATCCTGTACCTGTATCTGACAAGTCTGAACTGGATCTTGACGATGAGGAAGACAGAGAAGAGGAGGAGCTGACGTTGGAATACTTCTTGTTGGCGTTCTTTTGGAAGTTACTGGAGGGCTTGGCTGACTTGGCCCTCACATGGTACTTTTTCCCGTCATCGCTGCTTTCCTCTCCGTCCGTGTAGTAATCATCCTCGCCTTTTACAATTTTAGGAGCTCTACTTGGAACAGGCAGGTGTAACTTGTGTCCTTTTGGAGCATCACGTGATTTCTTGGACCTTGAAGAAGTAGCTGATGACGAGGAACCTCTTGTTTGTGTAGCATCATTTTCTACATGATATTCCTTTGAGGAAGCTTTTGCTTTTCTTTCATTTCCTTTCTGAGTAAGGTAATTTTCCTTTGTTTGTATTCCAAGTTTCAAGTTCACATTTTCTGTGTCATTATCTATTCTCTCTTTAAGGTCACTGTTTTGTAGTTCAAATTTCAAGCTTACATTTTTGGTGTCCTCTATTCTTGCCTTAAGGTCATCATTTTGCTTGTGAAAAACTAAATCACTGTCACATTTCTTTGCATCTTCAAAATCGCTGTCAAAGAAAGAATGGTCCACTTCACCTTCTGATATATCTCCAAATCGATCCATGATGTCAAAGGTATATCTGAAAAGGAGAACAGTTCAACCATCAGACTGGAGTAATTTCTCAATGTTTCATTTGTATTTTCCCCAAGTGAGAAATGTTGGTCGCACAAAAAGAGAACTATAGGTTGGGCAGCAGTGGCGCACGCCTCTAATCCCAGCAATTGGGAGGCAGAGACAGGCGGATCGCTGTGGGTTCAAGGCCAGCCTGATCAAGTTCCAGGACAGCTAAGGCTACATAGAGAAACCTTATCTCGAACCCACCCCACACCCAAAAGAGAGAGAAAGAGAGAACTATTTAAAAGTAAAACAGGTTTGTGAAGTCATGACAGGGTTTTAGAGATGTCAAGTTATACCCATAGTCCCAGAGCTCACAGGAAAATGAGATCATCAGGGAAGGCTTATCACAGACAGCAGTATCTTAAGCCAAAGGAAATCTCCCTTCTGTATAGTCCAGTGAGAGTTTAAACGAGGAAAAGACTTTTAGCTATTTGTTTTGTCACACAAAACACCAAAACAAAGTAACTCCAGGAAGATTTATTCTAGCTCATGATCTGATCCTCCATGGCAGCCAAGAAGTGGGCAAAGGTACAGGGTAGGCCCTCCAGTGACACTCCCAGTCAGCCATCTGTTGACGCTCATGGGACTCCTCTTCAGTTTCTACCACCAACCCAATGAACCCACTGTTAGGTTAAAGCCCGACTGCTTTAACTCTCCCTGAAATCTTCCCCCAGACACACTCACCTACGCTTTGTTAATCTCTCCCAGGGATCTCTCAATCAAATCAAACTGCTAAGCATGATTAGTAATTGGAGTTGATATTAAAACCTCACAGGATCAGCTAAGCCAGTTCAATCACTGATTATTCTGGTGGTAAGAATGCTGTATAAATCCGCAAGCTTCAGCATCTGACTACTTGCTTATCATCTCATTCTGTCCTTTACTGCATACACTCAACACAAAGCATACAGGGAGCTGTGACTTATATCCAATTCTCCCCATCCTTTCTCACTGAGCAACAGAAACCCCCAAGATACATAAACAGGCTGTACAGATAGCTTCCAAATAAATTTCTGAATATTTAACCACAAGCTAGGACATAACACAGGTAACATTACTGCAGAAAAGTATACATGACTCACTGCATTAAAGGGGGTCTGGGATGAGACACTTTACAGTTGGTAGCCATTTGTCTAAAATCAAAGAATAGCACATCATTTAGACACATGAAATTCAACATTACAAGAAATGCATTAAACTTCTAAATAGTTATTTTTGGTATGGAGTAAGGATACTATTACTTAAATTACTTGACCTATATATAGGTTTATGCGTATCAACAATGATTTAAACATTATGTAAAATATTTTACTACCCCAACACAATTAGAACTAAACTGAAAACACTACTATAAAATTATAGCCTTTAGAAAGTATCTTCACTTGTTATCGAAGTGACCTAAAAGCAATATCACATTATTACAGATAATCTTAGTTCAGTCTTTAGTTTCTAATCGACTCTCCATTAAAAACAAAACCTCAAAACCCCAAAAGAAGGGGCTGGAGAGATGGCTCAATGGGTGGAGCACTTACTGCTCTTCAAGAGGACCCAGGTTCTCAGCACCCAGGACCCAGGTTCTCAGCACCCACATGATGACCGTAATTCTAGTCCAGGGAGATCTGCATCCTCTTCTGGCCTCCACAGGCAATGGGCATACACATGGTGCACAGACATGCATTCAATCAAAACACCCAGACACACACACAACAACAACAACAGTAACAAAACAATCAGGGAGTCCCAGGCAGCTCATGTTATTGCTGGAAGCAGAGAAAAATAAGCATCTTATCTGCCGCTGACTATTGCCAGAGAGCATAATAATCATCTGTGCCTGTAGTAATGGTAATGAAACCACAGAGCCAGTTAGTTTGCCCTTGTGAAAGAATATGTAGCATAAGGCAGCTTAAGGAAGGTTAATGGAGGAATTCTTTATTTTGGCTCATGGTCCATCACAGAAAGGAAGGATGTAAGGCAGAGCTGCACATCTCATGGCAGAGGGAAGGCAAAGTCAGTGGGGTGCTGCCAACCACGTTCATGATGATTCCCCCTCTTCTAATCACCTCCAGAATGTCCTCACAATTATACTCTGAGATGCTTTTTACTTAATAATCTAGGCACTTATCAACCCAATCAAATTGATAATTAAGTTCAACCATTTAAAAGGTCTGACACTGTACAAGTTCAAAAACAAAATACATATATAAATAAAAAATTCAGCAGGAACTCTTAAGTCCACAATAATATTCAAAGGGAAAAATAAGTGCTACGTTGAAAACAGGCATACAAACGATTCCATTATTAATAAGGAGCCAAACAGGCAAGTATGTGCTTACTGTATTTAAATTATAATTAACTTCAGTATAGTAAATTGGGCACTAGAAGATTATGTAATGTGTATCCTACAGAAGCCAGGACATACTGAATTAATTTTTATTTACTATTATGTGGCCCTACAGCCCAAGGAAAGACATGAAAATAAGTATGGAGATGATTTAAGGAGTAATAAAATTTCTATCATTAACAATGTCAAAGTAAGTATGTGTATTCACACATTTTATCACAAGAGTAACTTTTTCTGTCTTTGTTTTGAAGCATTCTTATACATTAGAAATAAATTTTGGTTTTTTTCTTTGTTGAGACACAATCTCACTAGGTAGCCTTGCCTGGTCTAAAACTTGCTATGTAGACCAGGCTGGCCTCAAACGCAGAGACTAGCCTACCTTGACCTTAGGAAGCTGGGATTAAAGGCATGTACAACCACACCCAGCTAGGCATAAATCTTAACTCATTTACTTATTTATAATTTGCAGTGTTGAGGATTAAACCCAAGGTCTTGGACATGCTACATAAGCTCTCTGCCACTGAGCTATACTTCCTGCCCATAGACTTGTAAAATGTTGACTGTAACCTATCTTTAAATGCTTAAGGGAATCTGACTCTTAAATCTGTAATTTGATATGCAATGTTTAAGTGTTTAATTTCCTTTGATAAATTTATAAATGTAACTTGTTAGTTATTTGAAATACTTAAACATGAAATATAAGTTAAAATTATGATGATAAGCAGGTTCACAAAAGTCACATATAGCTGGGTGGTGGTGGTGGTGGTGGTGCTGCTGCTGCTGCTGCTGCTGCAGGTGCACGACTTTAATCCCAGCACTTGGGAGGCGGAGCCAGGCGAATCTCTGTGAGTTCAAGGACAGCCTGGCCTACAGAGCGAGATCCAGGACAGGCACCAAAACTACACAGAGAAACCCTGTCTCGGAAAAAAAAAAGTCACATATAATGTCCAGTAAAATTTAATATTTTATAAGCTAAGTAAAGATTAATAAAAGTACACATCTGTTAAAAATTTAGCACAAACCTAGATTCAAATAGAATTACATATCATTGAGAAGCATTATGGTATAAAACTTAAACCTCTACTAAAATTTAAGATTTTAGTTTCAAGATGTTAGCATAGATTAATGCCTTCTTTACAAATTAAAAATTCAAACTGTCAGAGAGGGACTGGGAGCATAATTTAGAGGTAGAGATCTTGATCCCTAGCAAACAAAAAAGATGGAATCCCCTCACATATTTAGGGCAGTTTTAGCTATCACATTTATCTGTATAGATATCAAAGTCTATTCTCTCAAATAATTTATGAAACTAAAATTTGATTTTTAAAAGATAAAGGTAGGAATCCCCTTTTATTCCTTATCAAAACAATTAACAGCAAATGTAGATTATATATCTTTTTTGAATATATTTTTCATTGGGACTCTGCAATAATCGTATCTTGTCCTCCTGAAAAAGGGTACATTTTTACAAGGGTAACTTTAACAGAGGAAGCATGGAATCTAGGGCAGAGGAATTGAGACTTTTCCATTCACCAACAGATTTAAACTTAGGGCAGAGGAATGGAGACTTGTCCATTCACAAACAGATTTAAACTTAGGGCAGAGGAATGGAGACTTGTCCATTCACAAACAGATTTAAACTTAGGGCAAAGGAATGGAGACTTGTCCATTCACAAACATTTTTAAACATATCATAATTGTTGCTTTAAACTAACTTTATGAAAGTAAGTTCTTGCAGTAGAAGTCCTAGCAAGTATTTTAAATAAATTTCAATGACATGATATTAAGTTCAAATTAGAGATTTAATGTCTTCTTTACTACAAATATGATGTCTATGACCTGAGAACAGAGTTGCCTTCTAGAATCTTTGTATAAGCCATGGGGACATCAGCATCAGTGATACAAACAGCAGAACACCTAGAATGTGTGTGTGTGTGTGTGTGTGTGTGTGTGTGTGTGTGTGTGTGTGTGTGCAGGTACCTGTGGAGTCCAGTGTGACAGTGCATCAGGTCCCCTGGAGCTAGAGTTATAGGCTTCTGTGTGTGAGATGCACCACAGAGGGTACTGGGAAGTCAACTTGGGGCTTCTGCAAGGGCAGCTCAGCCTGCTAACCACTGAGCCACCTCTCCAGCACCTGAAATGTTTTTAAAAAGACATCTGACAATTTGTTTTCAGAGTCATATAAGAGTCATAAACTCTTTGAATCACAACTTCATTTGTAAGACACTTATAAGAATAAAAACATAAAAGGTAGAAATGGGAGTAATCACAGAATTACTTGTAATAGATAAAAACTGCATACGGTAAAATTATTTCATTAAACTAGTTAGATCACAGGCCAGCAAACTACTATTCAGGATCAACTGTGGCTTGTTATGATAATGCAGATAGTTTACTGGAACACAGCTCTATTCACAGGTTTATGTACTGCCTCAGACAGCTTTCACATCACAACTGTGACACTCAACACATGACCCAAACATCAGAATGTGTATTATGTAATTTACTTGCAAAGTTTGTAGAACTGATATAGTTAATATATATAAGTGAAAAATACATATAGTTATCTGTACTGGAAGAATAACATGTACATATTTTAACAAAAAGTTGAGAGGAGACAAACTAAAAGTTGATTTGCTAGAAGATTCCACTCAATTTCCCACTGCTATCATGACTACAGTGTACAGCACCTGAAGTTGTCCTTTGGCCCTCTATACACGAGCTGTCTTTTCTATTAATTTTCCAGGGTCCAACAGCAGAACCAGCAGATAAAAGGAGGTTTGTCTAAAACTTTGCCTACAGTAGTGTCCTCACCAGGCTGGCTAGAGTTGGTGTGTGCTCATAATGCCAGCTACAAGCGAAGCTGAATTAAGAGGATCACTTGAGCTCTGGTGCTGGAGACCACTGGCCTCTGAAAAAAGGAGAGAAGAGGAGATGAGGTGAGGAGGAGGTATTACCATTCTTACCAGCCCAGGAGCTCCTGATGTCTTGTTCACCTTTACAGCCCCATTGTCTAAACGAGATCTACAAAAATTAGGGAAACATCTAGTTGGGGGGTGGTGGTGGTGGTGGTGGTGGTGGTGGTGGTGGTGGTGCACACCTTTAATCCCAGCAGAGGAAGAGGAAGGCAGATCTCTGTGAGCTCAAGGCCAGCTAGGGCTACAAAGTGAGTTCCAGGAAAGATACAAAGCTACACAGAGAAACCCTGTCTCCAAACAAACAAACAAAAATAACAACAACAACAACAAAAATTAGGTAAACATTTAAAGAACGTTTATCCCACAAAGGCATCTGGAGACTTAAGACTCAGCCCAGGTTCTTACTCTTTGCTTCCTAATCAAACCACCATGTTTTCAGCTTACGTTACTCGATCATTTTCTGTTCTCCTCATGAGAGGTGGCCCACTTCCTAGTGCATGTGAGATTTCTGAGGTGTTGTCTACACTCAGAATTTCCACTGGGTAAAAGTGGCCGGAAGCACCTAAACAGGGGATTTAACTTAATTTCCAAGAAAACGCATCTGACAATCCCACCCATTAGCAGTTCTTGTGCTAAAATTTACATCACAATTGCTGCGATTCAATTTACATTGGGGAGTAAGTAAGAAAAAACAATGGTTTTATAGGACAGTTAAGATCATCTTACAACACCCGGGAAAGGATAAAATCAAATGACAGTCTGTGTGACCATAATAACCCTCTGGTGGGTCCAGACAGGTTTCTGTCAAAGCTACCTGGAGTTTACTAGACACCGATGTTTAGCTAGCAATAGAAATAATAGTGCTTTCACAATACACCAGAGAGAATACACAGATAACCTGGAATTTAAAATGTCATTTTGTACATTTCTGATAGTCCTTATCTGTCGAGATTGAGATATATATCGATATATATCTATCGATATATATCAGGGCCCCAAATTGGGCATACAGAAATCTTGGCCCAAACTGTACACCTGTTATTCAGGAATTTGAGGCTTCGTCCACGACCCCCAGGCAGTACCCTCTCCAGACTCTGGGACGTACAAGTCAAAAGACAGTTCCTCGGGCCTGTGGGTTCGGGGTCCAGAACCCAGAGATGGGCAGCGATGGCCACATCTCCGGGGGGCTCGGACCCGGACTCCACGGCTCCTTCCCGAGTCCTGCGGGGCCGGGCTACCGTTTCCCCCCCGGGGGAGGGCTGGCGCCCCCGCCCCCCCCGCCCCCCGCCGCCGTTTTCGTAGCGGTTACCACGCCGCCCGCGGGGCTGGCGACGCCGCCGGCGACAAGCCTGCGACCTCCCGCGGAGGTGCCGTGGTACCCACCCCGGGGGGGTGGGGGGCTCGCCTCCGTTGGGCTCCGAACCGGGGGAAACGGACCCCGAACGCAGGGGAGGGTGGCCGGCCCGCCGGCTGCGGACCGACCGGATGCGGAAGCCCGTGAGCCGCTCACCTGGGAAACGCGACCGCTACGGCCTCTCGCGCCGCCGCCGCCGCCTCCGCCGCCGCCGCCGTGCCGCGGGGCGCGCCGGTCCTCGCTGGCTCCGCGCACGCGCAGCCACACCTCCGCCGGGCTCCCTCCTGGGCGCGCGAGGCCAACCGGGAGGCGCGCATGCGTGAGCGCCGGCGGGAGCTTCCGGGGACGCAGTAAGCGGAAGGGCAGTGGTCTTCGGGGCAGAGGGTCCCGGAGCGGCAGCTTCTCCACGGGGTCTCGGGAGGACTGGGAGGCATGTGGAAAGGAGAGCACCACGGACTCCCTGCTGTACAAGACGCGTCTACGCGCATACCCACGGCGCAGCGGGTAGGTCCAGGCACCCGGGAGGACCGCCTACAAAGAATCGCTGTAATCTTGTAATTCTGTAACAAGACGACAATAATAAAAAAAAAGAAATAGAGGGCGACTGTGTCTTTGGGGTATTTTATTCCAAGCAAAGCTCTGTTCACACAAACCAGTCGTGGTGGCGCCGTGTCTTTTCTCTCTGCACTCAGGAGCGGAGAGGAAGGGATCTCTGAGTTCAAGGCCAGCCTGGCCTATCTAGGGACTTCCAGGCCAGCCAGGGCTATATCGTGAGACCCCGTGTCAAAGAAATAAAATGCAGTTCAAGCAAAGTTAATGTGCAGCAGGGGCGGGTAACCTATGAAGGAAGGCCCTTCCATTGATGATGGAGGTGCACGTTAGGCAATCTAAAAAATGATCTCTACAGGCTATTGAGTGCCGCAATTTCTTGTTGAACTCTTGAACACATCATAGGGATAGGGATGGCACCCCACTCCCAATCGCCGTCCTCTAATCACCAGAGTACATTAATATGTTACTTTAGAATGGCACGGGGAATTTAGCTGATGGAATTAAATTTACATTATCCAGGAGCCCATTGTGTGTAATCACTAGGGTCCTTATACAAGGGAGAAGCAAACTTCCAAGTCAGTTAGTTATAGGAGCTGTGGCACAAAAGAGTGATGTGTGTAAGAGTCAATGAGCCAAAGAATGCATGCTGCTGTGGAAAGTCGAGAAGAGGAAAGAAATGGATTCTACCCTGAAAGAACTCAAACCTGCCTTGATTTTAGACGTCTGACCTCCACAACCCTACACCAAATAGGTTTGAGTTGTTTTATACCTCTAACTTTGTAGTAGCTTGTTAGAGCTCTCAGAGAACACTTACATGAAAATACAAAGAAAGCAAACACAGCCTGAACATTATATCCTAGGGACTGCCACTGTGTTGTTTTCTCAGAGCTGTGACAAAATCCTTAACACAACGAAGAAAGATTGGTTGGCTCACAGTTTGAGAGGGTGCAGTCCTTCATGGCACTGTCGAGCAGTTCATGTAATTGTGAGGCTGGAGAATCTGCCCTGCAGGAAGAGGCCAGGGCAAGGTGTAACGCTAGAGACACCTCTAGTGACCTCCCTCCACCTGGGCCCCACCTCCTCTCTTTCAGCACCTGCTAATAATGCCAGCATATTATGAATCCATCCAGGATCACTCCATTGATGAGGTCAGAGCCCATATGATGTCTCTGGAAATGCCCTCACAGACACACTCAGAGGCGAGCTTCACAAATGCCCTAGGCGTTTCTAATCAAATGTGTGTGGATGATCACAACCACAGCCGTCACACTCAAGAAAGAACTTCTATTTTGAACAATGCATTTTATGTTTTCTTGGTCCTGATTATTAACAAAGAGAAACTTTTTTTTTCATTTTGTTGGCTTAAAGAAAGGATTTCACTTAATTTTACTTAATGAAAATACTTTGGCACTGATTTCCAGGGTAGAAACCAGTATTTGAGTAGACATTTCTCTAAAGGAGGTACACACTGGAAACAGCACTGGAAAACATGGCAACTTCACAAAGTGTGATAGTTTGAATGAGAATGGCCTCTATATATTTGAATACTTGGTCCCCAGTTGGTGGAACTGTTCGGGAAGGATTAGGAGGTGTGGCCTTGTTGGAGGAGGTATGTCACTAGGGGTCTCAGAAGACTTGTGCTATTTCCCAGTGTGCCTCTACCTCTTGGATTGAGAAGGGAGCTCTCAGCAGCTCCAGCTATGCCTCTGCTCTGCCATCATGGACTCTAACCCTCCGAAACTGGAAACCTAATTAAATGCTTTATTCTGTAAGTTGCCTTGGTCATGGTGTTTTGTCACAGCAATAGAAAAGTGACTAAGACACTATGCACTAAGGAAATGCAAGTCAAAATCAGTGATGGCTCATGAGATCACCATGTCTGCTGGGTAAACATTTTCCAGATGATCAAAATTAGATTCTAGAACACAATAAAACATATTCCAGGGCCAGGGAAGCAGTTCAACTGGTAAAAATATTTCCAAAGCAAACCTGACAACCGAATTTGATTCCCGGATTCCACAGCAGAAGGAAAGAACTGGTTCCTTAAAGTTTCTCTGTAACCTCTACAACTTCGCTGTGGCACACCTGTACCCACACTCACATCAAACATACAAAACAAAACAATGAGGTACATTTTAGCCCCACTAGGACAGATTAAAAATAGCTCTTCCAGGAGCTGGAGAGATGGCTCATCAGTTAAGAGAACTGGCGGCTTTCAGAGGTCCCTTAGTTCAATTCCCAGCATCTATAATGAGATCTGGTGCCCTCTTCTGGCATTCAGGCAGAACACTACACACAAATAAATAAATAAATAAATATTAAAAAAACACCTCTTGCAAAAACTAAAATAGACAACAAGACGGCAAAGACTCAGAAAAATTTTAAGCCTTTTGCATAGTCAATATGTAAAACAGCAGGATAGGAAATGCTATAGTAGTTCCTCAAAAATATTCAATAGAATTATATGAACCAGCAATTCCATTTCAGGATATATGCCCAAAAGAATTCAAAGCAGCATCTCATATATTTGTACATGCAGATTCATAACATTATTATTCACAACACTCAAAATATAGAAACAACTCAAGAGTATTAACAGAGAAAATGTTATATATGCACTTGCATATACAGTGGGATATTATCCAGACACACACACACACACACACAAATGAAATCCTAATACATGCTATTAAATGAAGTTTAAAGATGCCATGCTAAGTGAAATAAGCTAGTCAGAAAAGACAAATACATGATTCTATTTCTATGAGGTTT